TTACACTTTGGTTAAGATGTTCCCAAATTAGAAGTTTTTCCATGTAAGAAGTTTAATATCAAAAGAGTCAATTTTTTTCTCCATAAGAGATGTGTAAATTTTTTTGTTTAAGAAAATTTTTCACTTAAGTAGACAGAAATCCTCGTCTGTGACTGGAAAATGGATTTACTTAAGAAGTTTTTCAGCTGCATCCTATTAAAAATTTGGGATCATCCATAAATTATGTAACACTATTTTTGCATATTTGAACTGCAATTCCACACTCCTGTAGTGTTTCATAATGCTGTAGCACATATTTACACTCAAAATTATGTAATGAATAACCTTGATCAACTTCTTAAAGATTCACAGTTGATATTTGACAGCCAATCAAAAGCATACATTGGCAATGGCAAAAGAGTGGAAACATCATTCGCACTTGTTCGTAGAAAGTCCATTGTTCGCCTAACGTAACGGCCAAACAGAAAGTTCGTTATTCGCAGCGTCCGTTATTCGTGGCGTACGTTATACGAGGCACCACTGTATATCTAAATCGTTATCTGTGCAATAGAATTACTGTATGCAGGGTTGCTGTTGATGGCAGATTATTAATGCTCTGAAAATCAGGACGCTAAATATCCAACGCGAAAAAATTCAGTGGAGAAACATCAGGAAGCTGTTGCATTAATGTAAAAATTCGATTACTACCACTGGAAGCAATATACCCCGGATAACAAAATGAAAAATGTTGTTTATAAACAATTATTGTAAATAGTAAGAATATGTTTTCAATAAAATTTTTTACCCTCTTATATTATAAAGTTAATCCTTTTATTTCAACTACCACACAATCTCGTATCAACTCCCTGAGCGAAGCCGGGTACCGCAGCTAATAGTTCATAACTTTCTCTACATGGTTACGTTAGAATTAGTGTAACTATGGATATTGTTACCATAAGTAGCACACAACACACAGTGCAGAAACAAACAAAGTATGCATTTTGTTAAATCACAAAATTTAATTTAAATAAATATATAATTCAATCAGTCGTTTCATAGAAAAATTATTATAGCAATAATTAAATAAATATTTTTAATTTTATTACTTTTACCACAGTATAAATATACAAAATGTCTTATAGTTGTTCTTAAAAGTTTTAAAAAATTCTTAATGTAACAAAATATTTAAAGTATCATTTATTTCAGAATGCAAAACAAACTGTAACGACAGATATCGTTATCATCTGAAATTATGTCCAAAATAATTATTTCAATGGATAATGTGTTCATTATTATGTATAGACGTAACACATTAATATCATTCGAAAATAAATTTATGTAAAAATATTTCTGAATATATTTTGATTAAAATACTTAAAAGTTCCTTCTGACAGAAGCGCATCAAAATGTTACGCTCATACATGATTATGAAATACATAAAAAAATTTTTACAAAGTTAAAATATATATATAAGGGGATTATAACTTTAATAAAAAATAATTTTCCAGTAAAAAGTTTTAAACAATATGCAAGAATATGAAATTACAGTTACATTTTAGAATAAAATAGGTATTAGGCACATTAATGGCAAACAAACAAAATGTCTGTTGCACTACGATGATATTCCAGAGAGTATATATATCCGGAATTGCTGTCATAGACTTTTTGAATTTCATTCTTTTCTGGACTCCAAAATATGAATTTTCCTTGTTCAGCTGTTTAAAAATATATATTCACATATTAGCTTCAATTTTTAAAAAATATCAAAAAATAAAACTTTATTAAATTGTTCATACTTCCAATTGCAATATCTCCGTGCAATGACCACGAAAAGCAAGTTGCATTATGAGATGGATCAGTTGAACCCATTGAAAAACAAACTCGATTTGAAAATCTAACATCCATAATTGAAATCTGAAAAATATTAAATTTTTTTATGATAAATGGTTCATTTTTAAATTAAATGTATTTAAATTAATTTACAGTTTTTCTTTCGGCACATGCAACAAGCCAAGGACTACGAAGTGAACTTTTGACACTAAAAATCGGATTCTCGAAATTGTGTACGTAAGAATTTTCAGGACATCTTATGTCATTTAGAAAATTTACTGTCTTGTCATTATATGTCACAAAGGAATGGTTCGAACTACCTTGAAAAAAACACATTCCTACGTTCGTGTCAACGATATTCCAATTTGGATTATGAAAATTTTGTATGTTGAATGTAATAACTTTATCTTTTCTCTGTTGTAAATAAATTAATATATGTTGTGGTAAATGACAATTTATAAAACATTTCAAATATTTAAAAAAAACTTACACCTAGTGAAAATATACTACATGCACCATTCAACTGCACACTGCATACATATTGAGGATCCTGACTACACCATCCACAGGATATTATTGGATTATTTCGACGAACCTGTAAAATAATACGGTAAAACAATTGTTAAAAACAGTAAATGATAATATTATAAATTTTTGATGCAAAATTGGCGTTGTTAAAGGCTTGTTTTTCATTCATTTATGTGCAAAACTTTTATAGACCAAGAACGATGCATCGTAACTATGGCTCATCGAAGTTTGCTCCTGCTATTCTGAATTATTGCAAGGTTGATAAAAATCGAAAACAAAAACTCTAAGTAAAGTCATCGAATTACAATATAAAGAAAATTTTCGTTGAAGTAAATTTACAAACCCAGATATAAAATGAAATTATGATGATTTATTGATGTAATGCAAAAGACATAAAAACACACTTTGCAAACGTAAAGTATATACAGTAATACCCCGACTTATTCGAACCCGGAGTTACGCGATTTTCAAATCTCGTCGATTCGTCTTTTGTTTGAGAGTCACGAACTCTTGATTACTCATTTCCCCACACTATTGTTCAGCTTACATGTTCGGACATGTCGCGCGGAATCTACACATAAAATAACACAAAATAAATTGTGGCTATTTCTGTATTTGTTATATCTCCAGAGACTCGAGAGACTATGTGATGGTTTCCTGTAACAATGAACGAATCAAAACATGAGAGATTAACGAGAACATTTATTAGCTTACATACATCCGACTTGGATTTTACACACATTGAAAAACTATACCTCGACTTACGCGGTTATCGCTCGGTCCCACTTATCGCGTAAGTTCGGGGTATTACTGTATAATAAAAACTATACTATAAAAGTAAACATATATTTATATATAATTCAATTTTGCTAACTATATATAGTGCAATAATAAATAAATTTGCTTAAAACCTATTAGAAATATTTAAAAAGTAAGACTGATCTTTGACGCATTGGTGAAATGAAATGCATCAAACCATCAACTATCATATAAAGTTCTTGTTGAAATATGTTATACTACGGTTCCTTTCGTCCTTTGTAGACGTATAAAATGAGCTATAACAGTCATAAATAGATGGAAAACAAAGTTTTAATTTAAAATTTATTGTAAATTGTAGTTGTAATCCTAAAAATCATTTCACATAATTAGTAACTAGTAAAATATTGTTGAAAATTTAAAAAATTAAATTACAACATTAGACACATTAAAATTTATTAAATATCTACACTTACGTTTCGAAAATATCCTCTAGGAATTAAAATAGAATCGATATTTTCATATAAATATAAATTATCACTAGCAGCCAAAAGATACTCAGGAAGATTTTCGTGCATATCTGGAATCCATAAAGCATTACCTCTTTCAGCAAGTTTCTCAATTGAACATGTACTTTTAAATTTCAATGCATCGTCATAATAATAGGTTTCAAACTAAACATTTTATCAGAAAAAAATAATAATAATATTAAGATTTCTGGTAACATTAGAATAAAAATAATATTAGTTTTAAACATACGGTACGTCTTCCTGTGTGAGTTATTCCAAAAGTACATTTAACATTATTTTTAAAACTGCAACTAAGTTCACTCGTAACACAGGGTGTTTCAGTGCTCTCTAACGTTTTCACACGTATGTTTTCAGCAGTTTCATTGCAGAAACGAATTAGTTCAATACTGCGAATTGAACGATCACGTCTGGTACGACTAAATTTTCTTTTCGTACCTCTAGAGCTAGTACTTTCTTCGTCACTTTGTTGTGTACTCTCCGGAGAAACAATCATTTTTTTTAAACTGTAATATGTTAATCTTTTTTTATTTTAAAGAAAACTATTGTAAAATTTGAGGTATAACTTAAAAAAAACTTCAAATGTTTTAACAAGAAGTTGTGCTTGTAATAATTCTAAACTTGATAAAACATTTATCCAAGCCAAATGATAATGATTTGCATATTTATAAAGTTCAGAATTTTCATGTTTTAAAAAAATGTAATTTAAATTTATACTTTACATTAATTCTTTCTTAAATAGAATTATTATATATTATTAAAAATTTAATTTAGCATATTATATTAATAGTTACATATTACCTAATTAATAATTAAGTAATATGTAACTATTAATATAATATGCTAAAAAGTCAGTTTTAATTTTTAAATTATTTTATTGTTTTTTATTATTAAACTCAATCAATTATACAACAATAATAGAAACGTATTTGAAAAAAAAAATACATTTTTATTTATTTTTGTATTAACGAAATGGAATGTTAAACAAAGAATTTCTAGTTGACAAGGGGTTAGAAATTCAAACTAATGGTTAACTTTGTTTCATATCAAACAAATGATATCAGTGAAGAGCTGTTCTGCCTAATACCTGATCTCAACTGTTTAGTGAAACACACTGTTCATCGTCGTTATAATAATTTAAATTGATATTATGATTTTAACTTGAAATGTGGAGCAACCATTGCGCAAAAATACTGACATCAGTACCAGCCTGTGTAGAAAGCTGACGTAAAACAAATAAATGAGTACACGTTGTGATTTTGTTGTGTATTTCACGCCATTTCTTGTATTGCTCCCCTAGCGAAAGTTTCTGAATTAAACATTTTTTACAAGAACCTCTTTAGACCAGGGTTTTTCAACCTGTGGGTCGCGACTCCCAGGAGGGTTGCAAAGCCTTACACAGGGGGTCGTGGGTAAAAGAAAAAAAAACAACTGTTTGGTTTTTTTTATCGATATTTAGGTCTCAACAGAAAGAAACTTAAATACGTAGTTTCTAAAATCACTGACATAGTTTTAATATGGCCCTGGGGATCGCGAGAATTTTTTAACTTCTAAAGGGGTCGCTTATCGAAGAAGGTTGAAAAACACTGGTTTAGACTATATAAGAAGGTTGATGCCAATCTACTTATTTGTTACAACTAAAGAGTGCTTTGAATAGAAAACATTCAAAGCACTCTGTAACAAACGATGCTTATTAATACATCGTTATCTATGAACTTTGTAAATTTCATGAATTATTTTTGCCGCGAAAATATTTTATGATGATTTATTAATAAGGTAATTAATTGCGCTATTGTTTTTTATGTGAGTTTTTTTAATCAAATTAATTAAATCGTTCCAAATTTCTATTTGACCGATTTGACTTCGGTCAATTTTTTTAAAACGCTATTAGATGTTTTTTATGTCATTAGCTGGTTTTTTTTTGTTTTTTGTTCAGTAGATTTTTCCCATACTTTTTTCGGTCTCCTCGTAATTTAATAGCATAAAAATCGACAATATTGTGTTATATTTGAACAGATGCGGTAAATTAGCGGCCCTCCTGCTTTAAACTAATATTTCCCTGAAGCGTATATGAGAACTACGCGGGAAAGCTGATACCAGATGTTCTCAAGGTCAACCAGTTTGTAAAATTGTAGACTGCACATGTGAAATTTTACGCCTTGTTAAATGAAAGAATAACAATCCTTACAGTTATATTTCTCAAATAAAAGCATTTATTTTAAAATGTTTTTATTTTGTGTATACTTTTTTGTAAAAACACTTTTTGGACAGGTTTTTATTTCGCGAAAATTATTTCCCGAGATTTTTTTGGATGTCAGATTCGCGTTGAAGTGAAAATAATTATTTCATATAAAAAATACATTTTTTGTGGATTTCTGAGTGGCATTCGGATCGTAACAAATGTAGCGAATGGGTTAATTATTAGAAAAAAGTAAAAAAGTCTATGTTTTGAGGTAAAACAAATAAATAACCTTAAGGATATTTGAAACAGTTTTATTAATGTAACACATTAAATTATAAAATTTTAAGAAAAATTATGCTTCGTCCCGTGAGTAATCGACTGTCCGGTCGAATTTAGTGTCTTCCTTTTTTTATGTTGTAAATAAATTAATAATTTATATTAATAAAAATCTTATTAAACTATGGAAATATACCATACACACTTACATTTAATAATCACATAATACAGTCTCCATTTGACAGCACACTGCATAAATACAGAAGAAAATGATAGCATCATTTACATAAATTTTTGCAATAAATTTCTGATACTCTTAATTAATAAATTAATTTTTCACAATAAGGCATGTATATATCTTTTTCAAGCTTAAATTTGCAATGCGTACGGCTTATTTGCGATTCCTATAGTGGAAAATACGAAATAAACCATAGAATCAGAANAAATCAAAAGTCATATTTTAATAAATATATAATTCAATCAGTCGTTTTATAGATTATTTATTTAATTACTGCTATAATAATTTTTGATAATATTTTATTATTTTTACCACAGTATAAATATACAAAATATCTTATAGTTGTTCTCAATACTTTTTAAAAATTCTTAATGTAAGAAAATATTTAAAGTAACATTCATTTCAGAATGCAAAACAAGCTGTAACTACAGATATCGTTATTATCTCAGATTATGCACAAAATAATTATTTAAATGATTAATGTGTTTATTATTTTTTTATACAGTTAATATCATTTGAAAACAAATATATGTGATAATATTTCTGTATAAATTTTGATTAAAATCCTTAATAGTTTTTCTTTACATAGAGGTGTATCAAAAAGTTATGCTCATACATGATTATGAAATATATAAAGATTTTACAAAGTTAAAATATATATAAAAGGTAATGATAACGTCAATAAAAAATAATTTTCTAGTAAAATGTTTTAAACATTATGCAAGAATATGAAATTACAGTTACATTTTAGAATAGAACAGGTATTAGACACATTAATGGCAAACAAACAAAACGTCTCTTGCCTTACGATGATATTCTAGAGAGTATATATATCTGAAATTGACGTCGTAGACTTTTTGAATTTCATTCTTTTCTGGACTCCAAAATATGAATTTTCCTTGTTCAGCTGTTTAAAAATATGTATTCACATATTAGCTTTGATTTTTAAAAAAAAGGCAATAAATAAAAAACTTTTATAAAATTGTTCATACTTCCAATTGCAATATCGCCGTGCATTGACCATGAAAAGCAAGTTGCATTATTAGACGGATCAAAGGAAAACATTGACAAACATGCTTGATTCGGAAATCTAACGTCTATAATTGAAATCTGAAAAATATTAATTGGAAAATTAACCATTTATCATAAAAAAATANTGTTTTAAACATTATGCAAGAATATGAAAATACAGTTACATTTTAGAATAGAACAGGTATTAGACACATTAATGGCAAACAAACAAAACGTCTCTTGCCTTACGATGATATTCTAGAGAGTATATATATCTGAAATTGACGTCGTAGACTTTTTGAATTTTATTCTTTTCTGGACTCCAAAATATGAATTTTCCTTGTTCAGCTGTTTAAAAATATGTATTCACATATTAACTTTGATTTTTAAAAAAAGGCAATAAATAAAAAACTTTTATAAAATTGTTCATACTTCCAATTGCAATGTCGCCGTTCATTGACCATGAAAAGCAAGTTGCATTATCAGATGGATCAAAGGAAAACATTGACAAACATGCTGGATTCGGAAATCTAACGTCTATAATTGAAATCTGAAAAATATTAATTGGAAAATTAACCATTTATCATAAAAAAATAAAGTGTATTTAAATTAATTTCTTTCGGCACATGCAACAAGCCAAGGACTACGAAGTGAACTTTTGACACTAAAAATCGGGTTCTCGAAATTGTATACGTAAGAATTTTCAGGACATCTTATGTCATTTAGAAAATTTACTGTCTTGTCATTATATGTCACAAATGAATGGTTCGAACTACCTTGAAAAAAACACATTCCTACGTTCGTGTCAACGATATTCCAATTTGGATTATGAAAATCTTGTATGTTGAATGTAATAACTTCATCTTTTCTCTGTTGTAAATAAATTAATGTATGTTATGGTTAATGACAGTTTATAAAACATTTCAAATATTAAAAAAAAACCTACATCTAGTGACCATATAACACAGGAACCATTTAACTGCACACTGCATACATACTGAGGATCTTGACTCCACCATCCACAGGATATTATTGGATTATTTCGACGAATCTGTAAAATAATACGGTATAACAGTAGTTGAAAACAGTAAATGATAATATTATAAATTTTTGAAGCAAAATTGGCGTTGTAAAAGGGTTGTTTTTTATTCATTTATATGCAGAGTCTTCATAGATTAGCAACGATGCTTCGTAAGTATGGCTCATCAAAGTTTACTCCTGCAATTCTGAATTATTGCAAGGTTGATAAAAATCGAAAACAGATATTGTATGTTAAGTCATCAAATTAAATATAAAGAAGACTTCGTTGAAGTAAATTTACAAACCCAGATATAAAATGACATTATGATGATTAATTGATGCAATACATAAGACACATGAAACACAGTTTGCAAAAGTAAAGTATATACTGTATAATAAAAACTAAACAGTGGTGACTCGTATAACATATTTAATCTGTTTCATATGCACGTCGGTTAAGTGAAAAGTACGTTATACGAAACGCATTTTCCCATAGAAATACACATAAAAACATACAATTCGTTCTGCAGCATAAAATAACCGCACTGTATCATTAAAAAAATGAAAATGGAGCAGTCACCAATTATTCCGGGTTGTCACATGTTGTGAGGACGAGATGGAGAAACACTTTCTTCACACATTCATACAGATACATACTTTTTACACATTGCAGCAGGTCTCTTTTTACTGTTTTTAAATCTGAGTCAGGTTTGGGAGAAGCTACCGGGGCTTGCAGGGTCAACTTTTTGTGTTTCCTGCTTTGTTTTTTGGCAGCTGGCTTATTCAAAAACATGTCCACGGTGCTATGTTTCTTTCTGTTCTTCAACACCTGTCGGAAATGACGGGCAAGGGTGTCATTGTAGAAGTCAATTATCCTGTTGGCCTCAGCTGTATTTGAATAATGAGTGTTGGTAAACTCCTGAACTTTTCCCCATTTGACAAGGTGGTCCTTGTCAACTTCCACTCCTTCCGATGATTTCTTGCCTTGTTTTGAGTAAATGTAATCACCCTGCACTGAGGTGATGTACCTGATAAACAAGGGAGCAAGCCTAATCCCAACGGGAGCTCTGTACTTCAGATATACTGATAATATATTCTAATAATACTAATATATTCTAAAAATAACAGATTGTCATTGGCAACGGCAAAAGAGTGGAAATATCATTCGCACTTGTTCGCCTCACGTAACTGCCGAATGCAAAGTCCATTGATCGAGACATGTAATGGACAAAGTTCGTTATTCGCAGCGTCCGTTATTCGAGGCGTGTATATTGTTCAATTTGGCTAACTATATATAATATATTGATAGTAAAATTGATCTTTGATGCATTTGGTGAAACTAAATTTGATGTATCAGCACCTATCATACAAAGTTTCTTTTGAAATATACTATATCTGTGGCTCTATTCATCCTTTGTAGACGCATAAATAAGCTATAACAGTCATAAATACACGAAAAACAGAATTTTAATTAAAAAATTTAATGTAAGTTGTAGTTGTAATCCTAAAAATCATTCACATGATTATTAATGTTGTTCAGAAATATTTCTAAAAATGAAATTACTACAACATTAGACACATTAAAACTTATTAAAAAATAACTTCACCTACGTTTCCAAAATATCCTCTGAGAATTAAACTGGAATCGATATTTTCATATATACATAAATTATCACTAGCAGCCAAAAGATACTCAGGAAGATTTTCATGTATATCTGGAATCCATAAAGCATTACCTCTTTCAGCACGTTTCGAAACTGGACATGTACTTCTATATTTCATTGCATCGTCATAATAGTAAGTATAAAACTAAACATTTTATCAGAAAAAATCATAATATTAAAATTACTGGTAAAATTAGGATAAAAATAATATCATTAATTTAATGCATACGGCGCTTCTTCCTCTGTGAGAAATTCCAAAAGTACATTTAACACTATTTCTAAAACTGCAACTAAGTTCACTCGTAACAGAGCGTGCGCTAGTTTTCTCTAATAATTTTAGATGTACGTTTTCACCAGTTTCATTGCAGAAACGAATTAGATTAATACTGCGAGTTACACAATCAGTTCTGGTATCATTAAATTTTCTTTTCGTTCCTCTACGGCTAGTGCTTTCTTCGTCACTTTGTGGTGTACTCTCCGGAGAAACAATCATTTTTTAACTGTAATATGTTAATTTGCCTTATTTTAAACAAAACTATTGTAAATTTTGAGGTATAACTGCAAAAAACTTCAAATGTTTTAACAAGAAATTGTGCTTGTAATACTTCTAAACTTGATAAAACATTCATCCAAGCTAAAATGATAAGGATTTGCATATTTATGAAGTTCCAAATTTTCATGTTTTAAAAAAATGTAATTTAAATTTATACTTTACATTAATTCTTTCTTAAATAGAATTATAATATATTATTAAATATTTTATTAAGTGTTTAAGAAATATTTAACTATTAATATAATATGCTAAAAAGTGAAATTTAATTATTAAATTATTTTATTGTTTTAAATTATTAAACTCAATCAATTATACAACAATAACAAAACCGTATTTGAAATACAAAAATACATTTTTATTTATTTTAGTATTAACGAAATGAAATGTTGGACAAAGAATTTCTAGTTGACAAGCTGTTAGAAATTCAAACTAATGGTTAACTTTGTTTCATATCAAACAAATTATATCAGTGAAGAGCTGTTCTGCTTAACACCTGATTTCAACTGTTTAGTGAAACACTGCTCATCGTCGTTGTAGTAATTTAATTTGATAATATGATTTTAAATTGAAAAGTGGAGCACCCATTGTGCAACAATACTAACATCAGTACCTAGCCTGTCTAGAGAGCTGACGTAAAACAAATAAATGAGTACCCGTTGTTATTTTGTTGTGTATTTTACGACATTTCTTGTATTGCTCCCCTAGCGAAAGTATCTGAATTAAACATTTTTTACGAGAAGCTCTTTCGTATTCTTTGTACAGACTGTATAAGAAGGTTGATGCCAATATAATTATTCGTTACAACTACAGTGTGCTCTGAATGATAAACATTTAATTATGCCACAATCTGTTTTATTACTGAATATAGGATCAGAGCCGTAACTAGGAATTTAAACTCCTATGTCGATGAATAAAAATGGCGCCTTTTTAATTTTTATTATTAAAACAAATAATAATTTAATTCTAAAAATATGCGATTGTAAAAAATAATCTAATCACGTTTAAATACTATATAAATAGAAATATATAAATTTTTTTGTTATTAGTTTCGAACACATATTATTCCGAAACCTTTTCGTTGGCGCCTTTATTAAATTGGCGCCCATGGCGGGGGCCACATTGGCCATACCCTAGTTACGGCTCTGTATAGGATACATACTTAATACATTATTTCATATATTTTATGACGCGATATACTAATGGCAAAAAAACAACTGTCTGAGCCCTCCACTAACAATAGATCCTAAATTAATTTTTTATAAACTCAAAGCTGTAGTAAGTATCAATATATCCAGATTGAGTTTTGGCATCGTTTGCAGGACCATAGATAGCTGGTGTGGTACAGGAGCAAAGAATTTTACAACACTATTAGGAAGTCCGATAATTTTCAATTCGACTACGATATGAAGTTTAAATTTTGAGACAAACTGAAGAAAAAAAATTTTGTTGAATTGTGAAAGATATTTTTTTGTTAATTTAAATAAAATATGTGTGTTTAAGAAACTATCACACATCAGCACAAAGCTAAAATTGTGTATGGCGCCATCGATTGTGAGATATTATTAAAAAATAAATTTGTATTATGAATTATTAAAAAAAAGTAAAAAAAGTCTACGTTTTGAGGTGGAAGGAGTAAATAACTTTAAAGATATTTTTAACAGCTTTATTAACACTTTAAGGTTGCCAATAAAAAGAGCTTCTACTTCACAAAAAGTTAAGAAAGCAAAACAAGGCGAATTTTTCTTTCATATAAAAAAAACAATTATGTCATTGGTCCGCTTACTCATTTAATTGCTATCTAGAAGTATCCAGGTCGTGTATTAATATTTATATTAAGGTTAGTATAGTCAATGACATATCAAATTTAAATACAACGAATCTCTAAAATAGATTTTATAAAATTTAAATGTTTTGAAGAATTTGCTAATAATGTTTTGCTTAATTATTTAACCCCACAAACAGTGTAATTTAACTGGTTAAAATATTAAAAAACGAATACTATCAATTTAGACCTTAAAACTAACTTGAAACTTATACTTATTATGCTATTAAATTAATAATAGAATTCTTGATTACAATAAAAGACTCTTTTATAATGGTTCATAAGTTTTTCTACATGAATACGTTAGAATCAGTGTAATTGCTGATATCGTTACCATTGAAGTAACAAAGAAAGTATGCCTTTTGTTAAATCACGAAATTATATTTCATAAATATATAATTTAATCCGTCGTTTTATAGGTGAATTATTATATTAATAATTGAATAAATATTGTTAATATTTTATTATTTTTACCACAGTATAAATAAACAGAATGTCTTATAGTTGTTCTCAATAGTTTTTAAAAATTCTTAATTGATACTTTAAATATTTTCTTACATTATTTCATAAGGCGAAACAAGTTGTAACTACAGATATCGTTATCATCTGAAATTACGTCTAAAAGAGTTATTTGAATGTTTTTATTATTATCTGTAAACTTAACATATTAATATCATTCGAAAAACAAATTTATGTAAAAATATTTCTGAATAAATTTCGATTAAAATCGTCAATTGTTCCTTCTGATATAGAGGCGTATCAAAAATTTATGCTCATGCATAATTATGAAATACATAAAATTTTTTACAAAGTTAAAAAAGGTGATTATAACTTCAATAAAAATAATTTTCCAGTACAAATAATTTTTCCAGTAAAAAGTTTTAAACATTATGCAAAAGTATGCAATTACAGTTACATTATTGAATAAAATAGGTATTAGACACATTAATGGCAAACAAACAAAATGTCTCTTGCCGTACGATGATATTCGAGTGAGTATATATATCCGAAATTTATGTCGTAGTCTTTTTGAATTTCATTATTTTCTGGACTCCACAATATGAATTTTCCTTCTTCAGCTGTTTAAAAATATATATTCACATATTAGCTTTGATTTTTAAAAAATTCAATAAATACAACTTTTATTAAAATTGTTCATACTTCCAATTGCAATGTCGCCGTTCATTGACCATGAAAAGCAAGTTGCATTATCAGATGGATCAAAGGAAGTCATTGAGGAACATGCTTGATTTGGAAATCTAACGTCTATAATTGAAACCTGGAAAATTCATAATAAAACGTTAATTGTAAATAACATTAATTATATTTAAAATTAATTTACATTTTTTCTTTCGGCACATGAAACAAGCCAAGGTCGACGAAGTGAGTTTTTGACACTAAAAATTGGATTCTCGAAATCGTGTACGTAAGAATTTGCAGGACATCTTATATCATTTACAAAATTCACTGTTTTGCCATTATACGTCATAAAACAATGCTTCGAACTACCATGATAAAAACACATTCCTATATTTGTGTCAACATTATTCCAATTTGGCTTATAAACATGTTGATGGTCGAAAATAATGACTTTGTCTTTTCTCTGTTGTAAATAAATAAAACACATTTGAAATGGTAATTTTACAATCCTTTGAATTATATAAAGAAACAACTTACATTAAGTGACCATATACTACAATCACCATTCAATTGCATACTACCTACATACTGAGGATTATGAGTGCACCATCCACATGAAATTATTGGATTATTTTGTTCAATCTGTAAAAGTAATCGAAACCTGTCGTTATATATATATATATAGTGTTTAGGTTGATTGACCTATAACTGTAGAGAGATGCCAAAAATACACGGAAAAGAAGAATATTCCAAGTTTTAAATCTACTAATATATTCTAGATTTAATTTTATTTTGTCTACGCGAAAATTTTTGTACAAAAATTAAATATTAAACTATATTAAAAACATTGTTGAGAAGTAAAAAAATAAAGCTATAATTAAAAGATACATCAAATTTTTGAAATAACTTACGTTTGCAAAAAATCCTTTGAGAATTAAATCAGAACTTACATCTTCATATAAATATAAATTATCACTAGCAGCCAGAAGATATTCAGGAAGATTTCCATGTATATCTGGAATCCATGAAGCAATACACTTTTCAGCATGTTTCTTAAATGTATAAATATGTTTTAGTTTCTTTTTATTGTCACAATGTATGGTTTCAATCTATACATTTTATGAAAGAAAAGAAATTCATAATTATATACCAATATTTCTTTTAATGGGTAAAAAAAAAAGATATTGTAAATTTATTACGTACTGCATTCATCTTTCCATCAGTAACTCCAAAAGTACATTTAACATCATTTCTAAAATTACAACTCAGTTCACTCGTAACACATGGCACGTAAATTCTATCTAATACATTTACTTTGGTTACTTTTTCAGTTTCCTTGTAGAAACTACGTAGTTCAATACTCTCGACTATATGAAAACTACTGAAATCACTTTTTCTTCTTTTTTCATCAGAACTAGAACTTTCTTCATCATTTTCTGGTGTACTTCTATCAATTTTTCTTCTTTCTTCATTAGAACTAGAACTTTCTTCATCATTTTCTGGTGTACTTTTATCAATTTTTCTTCTTTTTTCATTAGAACTAGAACTTTCTTCATCATTTTCTGGTGTACTTTTATCAATTTTTCTTCTCTTTTCATTGGAATTAGTATTTTCTTCGTCATTTTCTGGTGTACTTTTCCAAGGAACATTCATTTTTAAATCTAATATGCTTATTCTTTCTTTAAAATATATAGTAAATTTTGAGTAAAAACTTCTAAAATTACAAATTATTAAACAGAAAGTTGTACTTGTAATACTTATAAACTTTCACCTAATAGAAATTTAATGGATGCCGAGTAAAACTAATTTGCATTTTCACACGTTGAAGAATTCTTATGGGTTTTTAAATATTATTTATGACACAATATTTAATTGAAATGTAAATTTTTCGTTTATTTTTTTAAATGTAATTATTATATATTATTCTTAAAATAATTTCATTAAATATTTTATAAACACTGAAATATAAAACAAAAATATGAGTTATAATTATTTAATTATTTTAAATTATTAAACTTAACCCATTATTTTGTGAGAACTTAATTATATTTCGATTAAACTACGTTTAATTTTAGTGTTAATAAAATTAGCAGCAATTTTTGGCAAATTGCTGCTAGTTAAAAAGTGGTTAACCCCTTTTAAGACAGTATTTTTGGTAATTCAAATAAAAGGGCCCATTAGTGGTCAAGGGTTCCGTTTCCTAGACACTGGGAATTCGGTCTTTGGTTTGCGCCTCGCCAGGACGGGCTGGCCACGTGAAGTTTTTCGGATTTTCTCCACGTTTGTAACGCCTGAAGAGAAGCCAGTTACCCTTGAAGGACCTCCCAGAAAACATTATTCCCCGTATAAAGACCATCATAAACGTATACAACTACTATTACGTCACACTTTACCGAGGGTCGATATTGCCTAGAAGCTGTTACAATGCATGACAAGATTTAAATAAAAATAATTATAAAACGAAGAAAGTGCAGTTTACTATTTTAAATTTAATATTTCGACTAAATTAATGAGAAAAATGTAATAAAAATTTGGTTATTATTATTTTAATATTATATTAAGTAAGACGTATTGTGACAATGTCTGCAGTTACTATCACCAGCACCTATTGCAACAGTAAACAAGTATGATGTTTGTGAAATCAGAAAATCTTATTTTAATAATAATCAACCCTGTTTATAGATATTATATAACATGAGAATATAAACTAAAATATTTATTTATTCTTATAATATTAATTATAGTATTCTTACAACAGTACAAATATATAGGATCTTGCTCTGATGCGCAATGATTCAGGCAAGAAATTAAATGATTTTACACATTTTTGAAGATGTAGAGGTAAAGTATTATCTGAAGGATCTTTGTTCCTCATGGATCCTGCACTCTTAACCTTTTCGCGAAGTCTCCAATGGCAGAATGCGAAATTGCTGCTCTCTTTGTGTCTTTGAGATTAAACTCCATTGTATCCTACTTGTTACTACCTGAAAACTTTTAGGATGATTTCCATAGGTTTGTCTTACGTCAAAATTGACTTGAAACGGAAAAATCCCATAACATTACAGTTTACCNATATGCACGTCGGTTAAGTGAAAAGTACGTTATACGAAACGCATTTTCCCATAGAAATACACATAAAAACATACAATTCGTTCTGCAGCATAAAATAACCGCACTGTATCATTAAAAAAATGAAAATGGAGCAGTCACCAATTATTCCGGGTTGTCACATGTTGTGAGGAGGAGATGGAGAAACACTTTCTTCACACATTCATACAGATACATACTTTTTACACATTGCAGCAGGTCTCTTTTTATTGGTTTCTTCACACATTCATACAGATACATACTTTTTACACATTGCAGCAGGTCTCTTTTTACTGTTTTTAAATCTGAGTCAGGTTTGGGAGAAGCTACCGGGGCTTGCAGGGTCAACTTTTCGTGTTTCCTGCTTTGTTTTTTGGCAGCTGGCTTATTCAAAAACATGTCCACGGTGCTATGTTTCTTTCTGTTCTTCAACACCTGTCGGAAATGACGGGCAAGGGTGTCATTGTAGAAGTCAATTATCCTGTTGGCCTCAGCTGTATTTGAATAATGAGTGTTGGTAAACTCCTGAACTTTTCCCCATTTGACAAGGTGGTCCTTGTCAACTTCCACTCCTTCCGATGATTTCTTGCCTTGTTTTGAGTAAATGTAATCACCCTGCACTGAGGTGATGTACCTGATAAACAAGGGAGCAAGCCTAATCCCAACGGGAGCTCTGTACTTCAGATATACTGATAATATATTCTAATAATACTAATATATTCTAAAAATAACAGATTGTCATTGGCAACGGCAAAAGAGTGGAAACATCACTCGCACTTGTTCGCCTCACGTAACTGCCGAATGCAAAGTCCATTGATCGAGACATGTAATGGACAAAGTTCGTTATTCGCAGCGTCCGTTATTCGAGGCGTGTATATTGTTCAATTTGGCTAACTATATATAATATATTGATAGTAAAATTGATCTTTGATGCATTTGGTGAAACTAAATTTGATGTATCAGCACCTATCATACAAAGTTCCTTTTGAAATATACTATATCTGTGGCTCTATTCATCCTTTGTAGACGCATAAATAAGCTATAACAGTCATAAATACACGAAAAACAGAATTTTAATTAAAAAATTTAATGTAAGTTGTAGTTGTAATCCTAAAAATCATTCACATGATTATTAATGTTGTTCAGAAATATTTCTAAAAATGAAATTACTACAACATTAGACACATTAAAACTTATTAAAAAATAACTTCACCTACGTTTCCAAAATATCCTCTGAGAATTAAACTGGAATCGATATTTTCATATATACATAAATTATCACTAGCAGCCAAAAGATACTCAGGAAGATTTTCATGTATATCTGGAATCCATAAAGCATTACCTCTTTCAGCACGTTTCGAAACTGGACATGTACTTCTATATTTCATTGCATCGTCATAATAGTAAGTATAAAACTAAACATTTTATCAAAAAAATCAAATCATAATATTAAAATTACTGGTAAAATTAGGATAAAAATAATATCATTAATTTAATGCATACGGCGCTTCTTCCTCTGTGAGAAATTCCAAAAGTACATTTAACACTATTTCTAAAACTGCAACTAAGTTCACTCGTAACAGAGCGTGCGCTGGTTTTCTCTAATATTTTTAGATGTACGTTTTCACCAGTTTCATTGCAGAAACGAATTAGATTAATACTGCGAGTTACACAATCAGTTCTGGTATCATTAAATTTTCTTTTCGTTCCTCTACGGCTAGTGCTTTCTTCGTCACTTTGTGGTGTACTCTCCGGAGAAACAATCATTTTTTAACTGTAATATGTTAATTTGCCTTATTTTAAACAAAACTATTGTAAATTTTGAGGTATAACTGCAAAAAACTTCAAATGTTTTAACAAGAAATTGTGCTTGTAATACTTCTAAACTTGATAAAACATTCATCCAAGCCAAAATGATAAGGATTTGCATATTTATGAAGTTCCAAATTTTCATGTTTTAAAAAAATGTAATTTAAATTTATACTTTACATTAATTCTTTCTAAAATAGAATTATAATATATTATTAAATATTTTATTAAGTGTTTAAGAAATATTTAACTATTAATATAATATGCTAAAAAGTGAAATTTAATTATTAAATTATTTTATTGTTTTTAAATTATTAAACTCAATCAATTATACAACAATAACAAAACCGTATTTGAAATACAAAAATACATTTTTATTTATTTTAGTATTAACGAAATGAAATGTTGGACAAAGAATTTCTAGTTGACAAGCTGTTAGAAATTCAAACTAATGGTTAACTTTGTTTCATATCAAACAAATTATATCAGTGAAGAGCTGTTCTGCTTAACACCTGATTTCAACTGTTTAGTGAAACACTGCTCATCGTCGTTGTAGTAATTTAATTTGATAATATGATTTTAAATTGAAAAGTGGAGCACCCATTGTGCAACAATACTAACATCAGTACCTAGCCTGTCTAGAGAGCTGACGTAAAACAAATAAATGAGTACCCGTTGTTATTTTGTTGTGTATTTTACGACATTTCTTGTATTGCTCCCCTAGCGAAAGTATCTGAATTAAACATTTTTTACGAGAAGCTCTTTCGTATTCTTTGTACAGACTGTATAAGAAGGTTGATGCCAATATAATTATTCGTTACAACTACAGTGTGCTCTGAATGATAAACATTTAATTATGCCACAATCTGTTTTATTACTGAATATAGGATCAGAGCCGTAACTAGGAATTTAAACTCCTATGTCGATGAATAAAAATGGCGCCTTTTTAATTTTTATTATTAAAACAAATAATAATTTAATTCTAAAAATATGCGATTGTAAAAAATAATCTAATCACGTTTAAATACTATATAAATAGAAATATATAAATTTTTTTGTTATTAGTTTCGAACACATATTATTCCGAAACCTTTTCGTTGGCGCCTTTATTAAATTGGCGCCCATGGCGGGGGCCACATTGGCCATACCCTAGTTACGGCTCTGTATAGGATACATACTTAATACATTATTTCATATATTTTATGACGCGATATACTAATGGCAAAAAAACAACTGTCTGAGCCCTCCACTAACAATAGATCCTAAATTAATTTTTTATAAACTCAAAGCTGTAGTAAGTATCAATATATCCAGATTGAGTTTTGGCATCGTTTGCAGGACCATAGATAGCTGGTGTGGTACAGGAGCAAAGAATTTTACAACACTATTAGGAAGTCCGATAATTTTGAATACGACTACCATATGAAGTTTAAATTTTAAGACAAACTGAAGAAAAATAAATTTGTTAAATTGTAAAAGATATTTTTTTGTTAATTTAAATAAAATATTTGTGTTTAAGAAACTCTATCACACATCAGCACAAAGCTAAAATTGTGTATGGCGCCATCGATTGTGAGATATTATTAAAGAAATAAATTTGTATTATTAATTATTAGAAAAAAGTAAAAAAAAGTCTACGTTTTGAGGTGAAAGGAGTAAATAACTTTAAAAATATTTTTAACAGCTTTATTAACACTTTAAGGTTGCCAATAAAAAGAGCTTCTACTTCACAAAAAGTTAAGAAAGCAAAACAAGGCGAATTTTTCTTTCATATAAAAAAAACAATTATGTCATTGGTCCGCTTACTCATTTAATTGCTATCTAGAAGTATCCAGGTCGTGTATTAATATTTATATTAAGGTTAGTATAGTCAATGACATATCAAATTTAAATACAACGAATCTCTAAAATAGATTTTATAAAATTTAAATGTTTTGAAGAATTTGCTAATAATGTTTTGCTTAATTATTTAACCCCACAAACAGTGTAATTTAACTGGTTAAAATATTAAAAAACGAATACTATCAATTTAGACCTTAAAACTAACTTGAAACTTATACTTATTATGCTATTAAATTAATAATAGAATTCTTGATTACAATAAAAGATTCTTTTATAATGGTTCATAAGTTTTTCTACATGAATACGTTAGAATCAGTGTAATTGCTGATATCGTTACCATTGAAGCAACAAAGAAAGTATGCCTTTTGTTAAATCACGAAATTATATTTTAATAAATATATAATTTAATCTGTCGTTTTATAGGTGAATTATTATATCAATAATTGAAAAAAATATTGTTAATATTTTATTATTTTTACCACAGTATAAATAAACAGAATGTCTTATAGTTGTTCTCAATAGTTTTTAAAAATTCTTAATTGATACTTTAAATATTTTCTTACATTATTTCATAAGGCGAAACAAGTTGTAACTACAGATATCGTTATCATCTGAAATTACGTCTAAAAGAGTTATTTGAATGTGTTTATTATTATCTGTAAACTTAANGGAGTGGTGGGTTATCGAGAGCCGAGTTTTCGAGGTTCTACTGTATAACTTTCGAGGTTCTACTGTGTATTATTGTTATATTGTTCCATCTGATATATCCTTTATTTAATTTGTCTTTCTAAGTGCGCAATATAACAAAAGTCTACGGTATTCTTTTAAAGAAATTTTATATTTTTGTTTCCTCTACACTCTTAAATTTAAAACAATATTATAGATTTTTGTTATAATCTTTAATACACATGTCAATGTGTTTCTTTTTATCAGCATTTTCCATTGAAAAATATTACAAACTATGTTAAAGTTATATATGTAGTAATTAGCAAATATAGTTATATTTCTTACTAAATTACTTCTTGGCTTTCTCCTACATTTTTTATATTTTTAAAACCAGCAATTTTTCAAATGTGTTGTTAGTTTTTCCATTCATTAAGCAATGTAAATTACGTAATGTATAATTTTCTTAAATTTTAAAATATTGTGTTAAAATTTAAATTAAAATAAATATTTATATATAAAATATTGCGTTAAAATTAAATTATTTAGAAATTAAAATTTATTAATTAATTATTCAGAATAATGGCTACTTTATCGCTCATTATGCAAATTACATAAAGGGATTTGTTTTATCGCGCTGTTCAGAGTAATGAAATTTAACAGAGAGAATTACACTTATAAGTCGAATTGTCTTCAGTTTTATTTTCTACTTTTATAAGTGAAGTAAATAAATTATTTTAAGCAATGATTTTATAAAATAATCCGTTTTAAATCGTTAATTTTGCTATCGTTATATCAGAAAGTTGCTAGAAAAATTGATTTCATGGAGAAAGCTAAAGTCATGTTCAACGATACAGTGAATTTAATACAAGTAAACCCTGAATTATGTTCTAAACAAGACTTTAAAATATTAACCAGCCTAGTAGTTCCCAAAATCACATCAAATATTTCTGGCCACGTTAAAGTTGGTAAAAAATGCGCTTTTGGATCGTCTTGTGTAAATGGTAATAGTGTAAGTAGAATTTCTATAAAACTTTAGAATTATTAATGCGTAATTTTTAATATAGTATTTCTATTATTCAAAATTCAGTTGAACGTTTTGACTTATGATGATGACCAACTCAAACTGTTACACTCCGTTTCGTATCCATCAGTTGTTCGTAGATGTAAGTGGATTCCCGATGTAATAGCAAGTTTTCCAGAATATCTGCTGGTTGCTGGTGACGATTTATGCCTTTATGAAAAAACTGATTTTAAATTAACGCTTCGATGGATAGCGCCAACGGTAAGTTCATACGTATAGGTGTTGGTACGGATTCTTATATTATCCTTATTATTTTAAACTATTTAAACGTAAGAATATTGAAGTTTTATAATCCGACATTACATTATTGCTTGTTACCCTTATAAAAGAATAGTAGTAAAATATGTAGTTAGTATTTACATTGTCATTTCGGTAAAAATAAGTTTGAAAAATGCAAATATTGAAAATAAAATAGTTTGATTAGTAAACAATGTAGATAGGACTGTTGTTTAGAGGTGTAAGGCTAACTTTGTTATGTATTTTTTACCAAAAAACTTAGTTTCACAATAAATAGATTATTTTATCTGTATAATACATGCTTTATCGAAATAGCAAGCAAATCCTGCTGACGTTATCGAATAACTGATAAATGAATAGATAGCAATTCGATTTTTACTCAGATAATATAATCTATCATTATGCAAAGCTGAATATAAATTTCCTTTGTTCATTTCATCTTTCATTTTGTTCTCTAGCCACTACCTGGATTGTGGTAACATGGCAATGTTATCAGATCTGGCTATTTTCCTCCAGATTTCAGATACTGCAACGATACCTTTATTTTTTTAAATGCTTACAAATACTTATTACGAAAAGAATCTTAGTTTCAGAATTTTATAAAATAAATAAATGCGATTAGAGGCAAATGCGCGCCCACACTACCTTTTTGAGTCTGTGATGCAAATATCTGCATACACGTTTTAAAATTTACCAGATAATGTGTTTGTGTCTATATATTATCATTATGACTATCCACTAGTATACTCAATACAAGATGTATGTGCTGCACGTAACTGTATTCCCTAAATCACGTTAATTATTACTTGAAAGCCAAATCTACAATTCTTAACTTTTACAGGTAAGGTATGTTTAGCTAAATCTAATTACTTCAATAAAATGAGCAGAATGAAGTGTTTCCAGTTACATTTATTATGCGATGGAGAAACAGTGCATTATAATTGATTTTTAAAAAAGAAATACTGTTTATATTTTTAACACATTCAACCCACGTTGAAGACGTATATCAAATTATTCTGTTTTAAACTGAAAAACTAAATATTATTCTTGCTTTTATCCTATTTGGATAGATAAAGTCAAATTTTAAGATTTCTTCCTTCATAATATCTGTTTTTATCCATCAGTGACCTTTGTAAACTGCACATTTATACCGATAAAGTGGTTAAAGAAATAACACGTTAACCAAAATAAAGTGAAAAAGTTAGAACAAAGCGAGGATTAACAGATTTGTGCCATTTCAAAGTATAAATGTTTAGTGGTTTTTTTATAACTTTTAATAGCGAATAATAGATTGGAGTCCTGTGACGTTCTGCGAATGGAATTATTGGAATCCCATGTATATATCTACAGTACACTTTGATGGCGAATGCAAAATATGGTCATTAGAAGTAAGAGTGATTTTTATTTAAATAAACTTTTATTACTATTAATAACCTCTTGCTCTTCTTTCAGTCGGAGAAACTCTTATTAAGATTAAGAAATGATTTTATGTTTAAAAAGAAGTCTTTAGTGAGATATGAAGGAGAACGTGTAAGGATGTGTTTTTGTCATGATTCTTTGGAGAAGTGTTTCGTAGTATATAATGATCATAGTGCACACTTGTACGATATGAGAATGCCAATCGCTAGAACCAAAAACATATTTACTGACGTTTTAAAAGCAGTAAAATGTTCCTTTCTTAATCCACATTACATAGCATATTTGTTTGGAAGAAAAGTAAGTATAATGTAAGTTAAGTTTAACTTTTTTTTTAAATATGTACTAATAGTTACAATTATGACTTTAGGTTAGTATAACCGATTTAAGAAATTCAAAGGCTGACGTTGTCACATTTGGCTCTTTTAATGATGTTGAAACGGCTACTTGTTTCTCGTGGAGCCCTTTTGAAAATGAAATAGCAATCGGCAGTAAGTTCTCATCTGTTTATTAAAACATGCTCCATGATAAATTTTTATAATATTTATTATTATTTTCAGCATCGTATGGCCACTGTATATTTTGGAAACCTGAAAAAAACAACTTATTCCAAACATCTACCAACGATAATATTAAATATATAAGCAGAGTTGAATATGATCATTCAAAAATTAGTATGCTTTATATTAGCAGCTAAATATACCCTATTTTCGTCGAAATTTTTAAAACCTTTTGTTCAAATTTTTATTACATGTTTATAAATCTATCAATATATAAATCGTAAGGNAAATACTATATAAATAGAAATATATAAATTTTTTTGTTATTAGTTTCGAATACATATTATTCCGGAACCTTTTCGTTGGCGCCTTTATTAAATTGGCGCCTATGGCGGGGGCCACATTGGCCATACCCTAGTTACGGCTCTGTATAGGATACATACTTAATACATTATTTCATATATTTTATGACGCGATATACTAATGGCAAAAAAACAACTGTCTGAGCCCTCCACTAACAATAGATCCTAAATTAATTTTTTATAAACTCAAAGCTGTAGTAAGTATCAATATATCCAGATTGAGTTTTGGCATCGTTTGCAGGACCATAGATAGCTGGTGTGGTACAGGAGCAAAGAATTTTACAACACTATTAGGAAGTCCGATAATTTTGAATACGACTACGATATGAAGTTTAAATTTTAAGACAAACTGAAGAAAAATAAATTTGTTAAATTGTAAAAGATATTTTTTTGTTAATTTAAATAAAATATTTGTGTTTAAGAAACTCTATCACACATCAGCACAAAGCTAAAATTGCGTATGGCGCCATCGATTGTGAGATATTATTAAAGAAATAAATTTGTATTATTAATTATTAGAAAAAAGTAAAAAAAAGTCTACGTTTTGAGGTGGAAGGAGTAAATAACTTTAAAAATATTTTTAACAGCTTTATTAACACTTTAAGGTTGCCAATAAAAAGAGCTTCTACTTCACAAAAAGTTAAGAAAGCAAAACAAGGCGAATTTTTCTTTCATATAAAAAAAACAATTATGTCATTGGTCCGCTTACTCATTTAATTGCTATCTAGAAGTATCCAGGTCGTGTATTAATATTTATATTAAGGTTAGTATAGTCAATGACATATCAAATTTAAATACAACGAATCTCTAAAATAGATTTTATAAAATTTAAATGTTTTGAAGAATTTGCTAATAATGTTTTGCTTAATTATTTAACCCCACAAACAGTGTAATTTAACTGGTTAAAATATTAAAAAACGAATACTATCAATTTAGACCTTAAAACTAACTTGAAACTTATACTTATTATGCTATTAAATTAATAATAGAATTCTTGATTACAATAAAAGATTCTTTTATAATGGTTCATAAGTTTTTCTACATGAATACGTTAGAATCAGTGTAATTGCTGATATCGTTACCATTGAAGCAACAAAGAAAGTATGCCTTTTGTTAAATCACGAAATTATATTTCATAAATATATAATTTAATCCGTCGTTTTATAGGTGAATTATTATATTAATAATTGAATAAATATTGTTAATATTTTATTATTTTTACCACAGTATAAATAAACAGAATGTCTTATAGTTGTTCTCAATAGTTTTTAAAAATTCTTAATTGATACTTTAAATATTTTCTTACATTATTTCATAAGGCGAAACAAGTTGTAACTACAGATATCGTTATCATCTGAAATTACGTCTAAAAGAGTTATTTGAATGTTTTTATTATTATCTGTAAACTTAACATATTAATATCATTCGAAAAACAAATTTATGTAAAAATATTTCTGAATAAATTTCGATTAAAATCGTCAATTGTTCCTTCTGATATAGAGGCGTATCAAAAATTTATGCTCATACATAATTATGAAATACATAAAATTTTTTACAAAGTTAAAAAAGGTGATTATAACTTCAATAAAAATAATTTTCCAGTACAAATAATTTTTCCAGTAAAAAGTTTTAAACATTATGCAAAAGTATGCAATTACAGTTACATTATTGAATAAAATAGGTATTAGACACATTAATGGCAAACAAACAAAATGTCTCTTGCCGTACGATGATATTCGAGTGAGTATATATATCCGAAATTTATGTCGTAGTCTTTTTGAATTTCATTATTTTCTGGACTCCACAATATGAATTTTCCTTCTTCAGCTGTTTAAAAATATATATTCACATATTAGCTTTGATTTTTACAAAAATTCAATAAATACAACTTTTATTAAAATTGTTCGTACTTCCAATTGCAATGTCGCCGTTCATTGACCATGAAAAGCAAGTTGCATTATCAGATGGATCAAAGGAAGTCATTGAGGAACATGCTTGATTTGGAAATCTAACGTCTATAATTGAAACCTGGAAAATTCATAATAAAACGTTAATTGTAAATAACATTAATTATATTTAAAATTAATTTACATTTTTTCTTTCGGCACATGAAACAAGCCAAGGTCGACGAAGTGAGTTTTTGACACTAAAAATTGGATTCTCGAAATCGTGTACGTAAGAATTTGCAGGACATCTTATATCATTTACAAAATTCACTGTTTTGCCATTATACGTCATAAAACAATGCTTCGAACTACCATGATAAAAACACATTCCTATATTTGTGTCAACATTATTCCAATTTGGCTTATAAACATGTTGATGGTCGAAAATAATGACTTTGTCTTTTCTCTGTTGTAAATAAATAAAACACATTTGAAATGGTAATTTTACAATCCTTTGAATTATATAAAGAAACAACTTACATTAAGTGACCATATACTACAATCACCATTCAATTGCATACTACCTACATACTGAGGATTATGAGTGCACCATCCACATGAAATTATTGGATTATTTTGTTCAATCTGTAAAAGTAATCGAAACCTGTCGTTATATATATATATATAGTGTTTAGGTTGATTGACCTATAACTGTAGAGAGATGCCAAAAATACACGGAAAAGAAGAATATTCCAAGTTTTAAATCTACTAATATATTCTAGATTTAATTTTATTTTGTCTACGCGAAAATTTTTGTACAAAAATTAAATATTAAACTATATTAAAAACATTGTTGAGAAGTAAAAAAATAAAGCTATAATTAAAAGATACATCAAATTTTTGAAATAACTTACGTTTGCAAAAAATCCTTTGAGAATTAAATCAGAACTTACATCTTCATATAAATATAAATTATCACTAGCAGCCAGAAGATATTCAGGAAGATTTCCATGTATATCTGGAATCCATGAAGCAATACACTTTTCAGCATGTTTCTTAAATGTATAAATATGTTTTAGTTTCTTTTTATTGTCACAATGTATGGTTTCAATCTATACATTTTATGAAAGAAAAGAAATTCATAATTATATACCAATATTTCTTTTAATGGGTAAAAAAAAAAGATATTGTAAATTTATTACGTACTGCATTCATCTTTCCATCAGTAACTCCAAAAGTACATTTAACATCATTTCTAAAATTACAACTCAGTTCACTCGTAACACATGGCACGTAAATTCTATCTAATACATTTACTTTGGTTACTTTTTCAGTTTCCTTGTAGAAACTACGTAGTTCAATACTCTCGACTATATGAAAACTACTGAAATCACTTTTTCTTCTTTTTTCATCAGAACTAGAACTTTCTTCATCATTTTCTGGTGTACTTCTATCAATTTTTCTTCTTTCTTCATTAGAACTAGAACTTTCTTCATCATTTTCTGGTGTACTTTTATCAATTTTTCTTCTTTTTTCATTAGAACTAGAACTTTCTTCATCATTTTCTGGTGTACTTTTATCAATTTTTCTTCTCTTTTCATTGGAATTAGTATTTTCTTCGTCATTTTCTGGTGTACTTTTCCAAGGAACATTCATTTTTAAATCTAATATGCTTATTCTTTCTTTAAAATATATAGTAAATTTTGAGTAAAAACTTCTAAAATTACAAATTATTAAACAGAAAGTTGTACTTGTAATACTTATAAACTTTCACCTAATAGAAATTTAATGGATGCCGAGTAAAACTAATTTGCATTTTCACACGTTGAAGAATTCTTATGGGTTTTTAAATATTATTTATGACACAATATTTAATTGAAATGTAAATTTTTCGTTTATTTTTTTAAATGTAATTATTATATATTATTGTTAAAATAATTTCATTAAATATTTTATAAACACTGAAATATAAAACAAAAATATGAGTTATAATTATTTAATTATTTTAAATTATTAAACTTAACCCATTATTTTGTGAGAACTTAATTATATTTCGATTAAACTACGTTTAATTTTAGTGTTAATAAAATTAGCAGCAATTTTTGGCAAATTGCTGCTAGTTAAAAAGTGGTTAACCCCTTTTAAGACAGTATTTTTGGTAATTCAAATAAAAGGGCCCATTAGTGGTCAAGGGTTTCGTTTCCTAGACACTGGGAATTCGGTCTTTGGTTTGCGCCTCGCCAGGACGGGCTGGCCACGTGAAGTTTTTCGGATTTTCTCCACGTTTGTAACGCCTGAAGAGAAGCCAGTTACCCTTGAAGGACCTCCCAGAAAACATTATTCCCCGTATAAAGACCATCATAAACGTATACAACTACTATTACGTCACACTTTACCGAGGGTCGATATTGCCTAGAAGCTGTTACAATGCATGACAAGATTTAAATAAAAATAATTATAAAACGAAGAAAGTGCAGTTTACTATTTTAAATTTAATATTTCGACTAAATTAATGAGAAAAATGTAATAAAAATTTGGTTATTATTATTTTAATATTATATTAAGTAAGACGTATGGTAACAATGTCTGCAGTTACTATCACCAGCACCTATTGCAACAGTAAACAAGTATGATGTTTGTGAAATCAGAAAATCTTATTTTAATAATAATCAACCCTGTTTATAGATATTACATAACATGAGAATATAAACTAAAATATTTATTTATTCTTATAATATTAATTATAGTATTCTTACAACAGTACAAATATACAGGATCTTGCTCTGATGCGCAATGATTCAGGCAAGAAATTAAATGATTTTACATATTTTTGAAGATGTAGAGGTAAAGTATTATCTGAAGGATCTTTATTCCTCATGGATCCTGCACTCTTAACCTTTTCGCGAAGTCTCCAATGGCAGAATGCGAAATTGCTGCTCTCTTTGTGTCTTTGAGATTGAACTCCATTGTATCCTACTTGTTACTACCTGAAAACTTTTAGGATGATTTCCATAGGTTTGTCTTACGTCAAAATTGACTTGAAACGGAAAAATCCCATAACATTACAGTTTACCTACGGTGTGCGACTTATGAAATATCGTGTCCCATAAATAAAGTACACTTTTTACATGGTATAACTTATTGTTATATTGTTCCATCTGATATATCCTTTATTTAATTTGTCTTTCTAAGTGCGCAATATAATAAAAATCTACGGTATTCTTTTAAAGAAATTTTATATTTTTGTTTCCTCTACACTCTTAAATTTAAAACAATATTATAGGTTTTTGTTATAATCTTTAATACATGTCAATGTGTTTCTTTTTATCAGCATTTTCCATTGAAAAATATTACAAACTATGTTAAAGTTATATATGTAGTAATTAGCAAATATAGTTATATTTCTTACTAAATTACTTCTTGGCTTTCTCCTACATTTTTTATATTTTTAAAACCAGCAATTTTTCAAATGTGTTGTTAGTTTTTCCATTCATTAAGCAATGTAAATTACGTAATGTATAATTTTCTTAAATTTTAAAATATTGTGTTAAAATTTAAATTAAAATAAATATTTATATATAAAATATTGCGTTAAAATTTAAATTAAAATAAATATTTATATATAAAATATTGCGTTAAAATTAAATTATTTAGAAATTAAAATTTATTAATTAATTATTCAGAATAATGGCTACTTTATCGCTCATTATGCAAATTACATAAAGGGATTTGTTTTATCGCGCTGTTCAGAGTAATGAAATTTAACAGAGAGAATTACACTTATAAGTCGAATTGTCTTCAGTTTTATTTTCTACTTTTATAAGTGAAGTAAATAAATTATTTTAAGCAATGATTTTATAAAATAATCCGTTTTAAATTGTTAATTTTGCTATCGTTATATCAGAAAGTTGCTAGAAAAATTGATTTCATGGAGAAAGCTAAAGTCATGTTCAACGATACAGTGAATTTAATACAAGTAAACCCTGAATTATGTTCTAAACAAGACTTTAAAATATTAACCAGCCTAGTAGTTCCCAAAATCACATCAAATATTTCTGGCCACGTTAAAGTTGGTAAAAAATGCGCTTTTGGATCGTCTTGTGTAAATGGTAATAGTGTAAGTAGAATTTCTATAAAACTTTAGAATTATTAATGCGTAATTTTTAATATAGTATTTCTATTATTCAAAATTCAGTTGAACGTTTTGACTTATGATGATGACCAACTCAAACTGTTACACTCCGTTTCGTATCCATCAGTTGTTCGTAGATGTAAGTGGATTCCCGATGTAATAGCAAGTTTTCCAGAATATCTGCTGGTTGCTGGTGACGATTTATGCCTTTATGAAAAAACTGATTTTAAATTAACGCTTCGATGGATAGCGCCAACGGTAAGTTCATACGTATAGGTGTTGGTACGGATTCTTATATTATCCTTATTATTTTAAACTATTTAAACGTAAGAATATTGAAGTTTTATAATCCGACATTACATTATTGCTTGTTACCCTTATAAAAGAATAGTAGTAAAATATGTAGTTAGTATTTACATTGTCATTTCGGTAAAAATAAGTTTGAAAAATGCAAATATTGAAAATAAAATAGTTTGATTAGTAAACAATGTAGATAGGACTGTTGTTTAGAGGTGTAAGGCTAACTTTGTTATGTATTTTTTACCAAAAAACTTAGTTTCACAATAAATAGATTATTTTATCTGTATAATACATGCTTTATCGAAATAGCAAGCAAATCCTGCTGACGTTATCGAATAACTGATAAATGAATAGATAGCAATTCGATTTTTACTCAGATAATATAATCTATCATTATGCAAAGCTGAATATAAATTTCCTTTGTTCATTTCATCTTTCATTTTGTTCTCTAGCCACTACCTGGATTGTGGTAACATGGCAATGTTATCAGATCTGGCTATTTTCCTCCAGATTTCAGATACTGCAACGATACCTTTATTTTTTTAAATGCTTACAAATACTTATTACGAAAAGAATCTTAGTTTCAGAATTTTATAAAATAAATAAATGCGATTAGAGGCAAATGCGCGCCCACACTACCTTTTTGAGTCTGTGATGCAAATATCTGCATACACGTTTTAAAATTTACCAGATAATGTGTTTGTGTCTATATATTATCATTATGACTATCCACTAGTATACTCAATACAAGATGTATGTGCTGCACGTAACTGTATTCCCTAAATCACGTTAATTATTACTTGAAAGCCAAATCTACAATTCTTAACTTTTACAGGTAAGGTATGTTTAGCTAAATCTAATTACTTCAATAAAATGAGCAGAATGAAGTGTTTCCAGTTACATTTATTATGCGATGGAGAAACAGTGCATTATAATTGATTTTTAAAAAAGAAATACTGTTTATATTTTTAACACATTCAACCCACGTTGAAGACGTATATCAAATTATTCTGTTTTAAACTGAAAAACTAAATATTATTCTTGCTTTTATCCTATTTGGATAGATAAAGTCAAATTTTAAGATTTCTTCCTTCATAATATCTGTTTTTATCCATCAGTGACCTTTGTAAACTGCACATTTATACCGATAAAGTGGTTAAAGAAATAACACGTTAACCAAAATAAAGTGAAAAAGTTAGAACAAAGCGAGGATTAACAGATTTGTGCCATTTCAAAGTATAAATGTTTAGTGGTTTTTTTATAACTTTTAATAGCGAATAATAGATTGGAGTCCTGTGACGTTCTGCGAATGGAATTATTGGAATCCCATGTATATATCTACAGTACACTTTGATGGCGAATGCAAAATATGGTCATTAGAAGTAAGAGTGATTTTTATTTAAATAAACTTTTATTACTATTAATAACCTCTTGCTCTTCTTTCAGTCGGAGAAACTCTTATTAAGATTAAGAAATGATTTTATGTTTAAAAAGAAGTCTTTAGTGAGATATGAAGGAGAACGTGTAAGGATGTGTTTTTGTCATGATTCTTTGGAGAAGTGTTTCGTAGTATATAATGATCATAGTGCACACTTGTACGATATGAGAATGCCAATCGCTAGAACCAAAAACATATTTACTGACGTTTTAAAAGCAGTAAAATGTTCCTTTCTTAATCCACATTACATAGCATATTTGTTTGGAAGAAAAGTAAGTATAATGTAAGTTAAGTTTAACTTTTTTTTTAAATATGTACTAATAGTTACAATTATGACTTTAGGTTAGTATAACCGATTTAAGAAATTCAAAGGCTGACGTTGTCACATTTGGCTCTTTTAATGATGTTGAAACGGCTACTTGTTTCTCGTGGAGCCCTTTTGAAAATGAAATAGCAATCGGCAGTAAGTTCTCATCTGTTTATTAAAACATGCTCCATGATAAATTTTTATAATATTTATTATTATTTTCAGCATCGTATGGCCACTGTATATTTTGGAAACCTGAAAAAAACAACTTATTCCAAACATCTACCAACGATAATATTAAATATATAAGCAGAGTTGAATATGATCATTCAAAAATTAGTATGCTTTATATTAGCAGCTAAATATACCCTATTTTCGTCGAAATTTTTAAAACCTTTTGTTCAAATTTTTATTACATGTTTATAAATCTATCAATATATAAATCGTAAGGTATAAATGATTTTTAAAATATACAATTTTATATGTATGAATAAAATTTTAACGTTATTAAAAAAGTTGTCTTATTAAAAATTATTCTGTGTTTTTTACATTTTGCAGGGAGGTTTGTGTATTTGAGGATTTATGCTAAATTTATATGGTTAAAAGTAGAGAGGCTGGGGAGATAAAGGTGGTCGTTACATCTCTAGTAGGGTAGGAATATAATTTTGTTAAATTAATACCTTGACGAGAGGTAGCCATATGGTTAAAATCACAGAACTTGTAGTTGGTCACAATTTCGTTCCTCACTGACTATTGGACACCTGCAATATTTCAGCTGCTGCTTCTCGTCCCGGGTTTATATGGAGATTATAGCCTTAGTTCGCACACTCTCCGACAAGCCTTTCGGCTGCTTTTTACATGAGTAGTATATATACATATTGTTATTCTTATGTACGTTTCTTTACAAAGCTATATTTAATTATAATTTCGTTTTAAACGTATATTCATACAATTAAAAAATATTTTGTACCAGGTATGTACAGTACATCCACTACACATTTTATTTTCGCCAAGTAAGTTTTTAAAAATTTTAATTTTAGCCCTTATATCGTGGCTAGCGATTTAGAATGTAATTGTGATTATTAAAAATACATTTAGAGAAATCCACGGATTTTACTTGCTTATCGAACAAACGAATAAGAATGAACCCTAGACCATCACTGACACGAAATTAACTGATTGCCCCTGGAAGTCGGCTTCTTGCAGTAACACAGCTTTCCTACCATCAAATGTCACGGCACGCCACTGCAACATCCATACCGTAAACTAATTTCATAAATATTTACGGTATAAATTTTAATAATGATGTAAAAGTGTGTCGAAAAATGCAATGGCAATAGGTTTTTTTACAACTGTTTTTGTGTACAATATTTAAGGGTGTTGCAACGAAAACTTATGTTATTTTTATGATGGTAATTTTGCATCATCAGAGATTTAATTCTGTAAGAACATCATGCTTTTTATCACACTATGTTTGTGATTTAAAAAATTATATATATATAAATTATCGAAAACAACGCGTTAGTTAGTTTTTTCACACCAGGAACTAATCTGAAACATTACTAAATACTGAGGCATAAATTTTTTCAGATTACGACTTCAGTAAACTCTGTCCTATATAATTTACTAAGCACGAAAAAAAGTAAATTTTATTTCAGAAAAACAAACAATTAGTAACAGTTACTTTTTATTCTATGCGTAGTGAGCACAAAAAATTTTATGGACTTTCAGCCTATCCTCTCTAATGAACAGATATCCCTTCCTTGATACTGGGATTAAACGCAAAATTATTAAAATTAACCATTATACAGGTATTTTTGTCTTATTAAAAAATAGCAAAACTACTTTCGTAATTTCACTGTAAGTATTTTTAAATGGAATTTTTGTATCGGAAAAACGTATTTAAAAATTGTTAGTACTTACGAATTTACAATGTAACACTTAATTATTTAATTACAATGTATTATTTAATTAGAAATAATTATTAGGCCCTTCTTGTATTATTACATTATGAATTGTTTTAATTATTGATTTTTATTACATCTTATGAAAAATAATTTGTTTCGGTTTTCGAACAACTTTTAGGAACGAATTAAGTTAGTAAATGTTTTATGAAAATATTTCTTTTTATTTAATGACATAGACTCATCGTTAAAGCAATTTTTTTTTATTAAAATGCATATTTAGGAATGTCTGAAAATTTACAAACATGAAAGACTTCTTATCTTAATATATTATTTATATTACATACAGAAATAAATATCATATTATACCATGTTTATGTAATACATAGAATATTAAATTCGTCAAATTGAAATTTTCTAGCTTCATCTAAGTTTTTAATTTATTATACAAAATAAAACTTGAATCTAGTTTTATTAGCCATAAGATAATAAAGTGCTTTCAGAAACAAATAACAATAGCAACTTTATATTGTTTTTAGAATATAATTAGATGGAAAGATTGATGTCTTTTATATTTTAGCTTTTCTATTATATATTAGTTCAATTATAAAAGCTATAATAGAAAATCCATATCCTAAAGCGAGAAGAATAAAACAACTTAAAACATCTTCAATGGAAAAAGGACGAAAAGTGTCTTTAAAGATCTCTTTTGTAGACGGTGGCATAGCATCCCTCTCCAACTTCTTATAAATGCCAGTGTCTCTTATCCATCCTATTCTAGAAGTAAACAAGAAGTAATGTATATTTGTATAATGAATATTAGGGTGTAGCTTCTTGTATTGAACGTTCGGATCTCCGCAATTACCGACAACGAAATATAACAGAACACAAGAAAATCTACCTTTCCGTAAGATGATTGTGCATAAGATATTGCGTAGAAGTAAAATGGCAGCAATGGACTAAAGGTGCTGATGCATTTTTTTGCGATTTTCGGTTTATGATATAAACATTGAGCGTTTCTGCTAGCGGCTTGTAAATACAGATACGTTGCTGTCATAAATTTTACTGTACTGAAAAACATTGTTGTCTAATAAAGTAAGATATGCGTGGGGGTTGGAGGAAACATTCAAAATAACGATAAGTTCTAAATTGAATTGATAATAAGTAACCATTTGTCTATAGAAAACACCTTCAACAAAATTTTCGACAGAATACATGCCAAATTCTAAAACACGAAAAATACGAAATTTAATTTTCGAAAAATTATTTAGCCGTAATTTTAATTTTAAAAAAATTTTCGAACTAGTATACAGTGAAACCTGCTAAAGTGACCACTGAAGGGACCAGCTCAAAGTGACAGTCGTACGCGGGTGGTCACATTAACAAGTTTTATTGTACAGTCGACCCCCCTATAACGTACGTTCCTATAACGACAATTCCTATAACGTAGCGAAAAAATTGTAGAAACTTTCGTATAAAGTACCTCCTATAACGTCGTTTCGCGACAAGATTGATAGAGTCTGGACCAATAGTGGATGAGCAGCCGAACTACTTTCCTCCGACCCTGCGCCACGCTACGGAGCAGCTAAATTGAGTTTGCTATGGTCTGTTTAGTATTATATATAAATTATATACTGTACATATAATTATATATTAATTATATATAAATTAGGTACTGTATATATAATTATATATTAACTTAATTTATTGTAACTTTATTATAATTATATATATGCTTTCTGCCGCCTGGCAACACGCTACGGAGATTTTAGGCTAGTAAGTTGAGTTTATTATCGTCTGCACAGTATGTAAATTAGGTACCGTAAGTCTAATACAGCACTAATTTTATACATTTCTTGTGAAAGAAACACTTCTTATTCAACGTCCATAAAAATTATTTATATTAATGATGTCTCCAAAGGTCAAGTTATTTTTCTGCGAAAAATTCGTTATCAGAAATTGCGGCCGTCGTTTCGTGTGCTGTTCCGCGATGAAAACCAGCTTTAAGCAACGGCGTAGTCGAACGGTACACACTCGGTAAGTAATCCTATAATTTTTTGTTTATAGCATAGTTTATACGGATTACTCCCAAAAAATTATACGTGTTTTGGAAATGTTGAGTCGAATTAGTCTAGAATCGGTTAATTTTATAGAAGAAAACCTTTCGAACAGCCTTAGTCCGTAAAGTTCCCACCTATCGGGCTGCGATTGGATCATGTATTTAATCATTCCTATAACGTAAAATTCGATTAGCGTGGAACGTATCTAAGCGTTATAGGGGGGTCTACTGTATTTCGATATTTCGTATTAAATTTCAAAAACATTATTGTTTGAAAATTGATTATCAAAAATTGAAATCTTGAAACTTTCAAACTTTTCTTGCAAAGTCTCTAAAAAGCATTGGGGTGCTAAAATCCCGTTGCTTTAATATTCGTGTTACAAGATAAAATGATGCAGTGACTGAAGAAGACGCTAATGAGACAAAGGGGGGGTGTTTGATTTTATTTCTACAATGCGACCAGACACATCGCCCGAAGAAGATTGCATCCTGGAAGAAGTTTTATGTGAAAGTGGCACCTATTTAGTTGATATTAACAGAAAGAAAACCTAATCATTTTATTTGGCCTGGCGTTGACAAAACGTATACCCACGGCCAACTATCAATTTTCAGTGGTTTTATCTATTTGGCTACTGGTGTGCATGAAGACGACGAATTCTGTGTTAGTAACTGTGTGATTAAGATAAAATATTCGTTGTATTTTACTTTATTGTTAGTGTAAATATCATTGTATCATTAATCATGTAAATATCATTGTAAATATCATAAACAGCGAAAACTGTCCCTGCAGCCAAGAGAAAGAAAAATGTGTAATATGAGGAATTCTATAAACTATTTTTACTACATTTGATTGTCGGTGCATTTTAATTTAGTTTTTATAGGAATTAGAAAGCTTTACTGGAATGTTTATTCTAATTTTTGTATTCACATGCTTTCATCCATATATATAGAATTAGATATCCTCACTGATTGACTGACTGATTCGTCATCAACCAGAGCAAACCGTTGAACCTAAACAAATTAAATTTTGACAGTGCATTTTTATAATGACATACATAGATAACTGATAATAACTTAATTTTCAAAACTGTATTCCTAAGCGTTTTAAATCAAGATAAAAATGTATATTGAAAAAAATATTTTGTTGATCGAATATTGAAAAAGTCGAGAAGAGTTGGAATTCGGTACACAGTTAGGATACGTCATGAAAACGTACAATAAGAAAAAAATTTTCGAAATTCTCCCCCGCGAAGGAGAGAGAGAAAGAGAGGGTTAAAAATTACCCAGAACTCCACTTTTACTGTACTATTTAGATGCGTTTTCTTCCGCGTTTTCGCGAGAAATCGTACACATTTTTCACCCATCTAACTAAAAATTCTTTAATTAGTCTCCGAAGTGAGGGATGTAATTTATACACCCGGCGAAAAACGGGTTAAGATCGTCTATAATTTAATTAATAATCTTGATCTTAGCTATCGTTACTTTTTGTCCGAGCAACG